CCAAGGACTTTTGACTCTAGAATCCATGTTCTCAACATGCTACCCAAAGTCCCTGCATTTGAATTTTGGCTTTTAGCAGAGCTTTTACCACTAATTCCTTCCACTGTTGGGGAGCAGGTTTGACATCCTAACTGATGATTTGGATAACTCTGACCTTGATGGGAGGATACAAACAGGAAAAAACGGGCAGATAGTAATCTAAGGAGATTACTGCTAAGAGCATTGTGTAAAGAGAATAACCTTCTTTCCTTTAACTATCCCTTTATTCAATGATGTACAGAATGATGCTTTGAAATTGTCAGGTTGCTCACTCTCCCCATCTCCTTCGACAACTGCTCCAAATCTACTTTCTTCAAGCCCCTCTTCAAGCTGTTTTACCCAACATTTTACCACCCCTACACTACAAAATGCCACAACTAACTTCTTTCCTCACTTCCTTAGATGTCTTGCAAAATTATGCATGTTCACTATAGAATACTTGGAAAATCTGTGTGGCAAGATGGGGGTTTATTTCACTTTTACCTCTCTTTCTTTTCTTCTCTTGGTTTGGAGGTAGCTTTTGGTGATATCCGAGATATTTTTCAAGCATAATATATCATCACAGTTAAACTATGAAAAATTATAAATATAATACCAAAATTCCTCATCCTCAATATCAAAATCCAAAATCCTCTGAAAATATATATATATATATTTTTTTTTTTTTTGAGATGGAGTCTAGCTCTGTCACCCAGGCTGGAGTACAATGGCATAATCTCGGCTTACTGCAACCTCTGCCTCCCGAGTTAAAGCGATTCTCCTGCCTCAGCCTCCCGAATAGCTGGGACTACATGCGCGCACCACCACGCCCGGCTAATTTTTGTATTTTTAGTAGAGACAGGGTTTTACCATGCTGGCCAGAATGGTCTTGATCTCTTGACCTTGTGATATGCCCACCTTGGCCTCCCAAAGTGCTGGGATTACAGGCATGAGCCACCATGCCCAGCTGAAAATAAAGAATTTTTGTAACCCACTAGCACATTGGCATTAAAACGTAACTTAAATTAACATCAGGCTATAACATTTTTATTCAAGCTATTTAAGGCGAATAGTCCCATGTTTTCCTACAGATATATTAATATGCTTGATTCTGGGTGTTGTCCCAGGCTCTGCTGGTAATATCAAGTAAGATGTATCACTATTTTTAAGTATAAAGATTCCAAAACATCTCTGATACCAATCATTTAGATGGGATATCACTGACCAGCAAGATAAACAGGAAGCTTGGTTTTACTTGGCAAAGCTAACTTACCTCACAACACTAAGAAAGAACTTCCCACAACTCTTTAGGTACAGCCAAGACTCTAAAGGAAGGCAAAAAGTAGAAAAAGATTGAGGAGGAAGGAAGGAAAAGGAGGAAAGAAGGGCTAAGAGATTATTTTCTTGTTTTGTAACCAACTTTTTTTAACTTAAAAATAATATATCAAAATTTATATTTTAATTTCAAAAATCTGTATAGCAATATAATACCACATATATGTCACATATAAGGCAATATATATTAATATACAATATAGTATATGGTAATAATTTTATAGCAAGAAATGTTCTTCTAACAATATAATTTCCAGTTGTTGGAAATTTTGTACCTGTGTTCATGACACAATTTTTCTCCCTTTCCTCCAGCACTTTGGAACACTGGGTAGCAGTATTGATTCATCCTATATTTTATTTTATTTTACTTTGAGACAGAGTCTCACTCTGTCACCTAGGCTGGAGTGCAGTGGCACAATTTTGGCTCACTGCAACCTCCATCTTCTAGGTTCAAGCACTTCTGCCTCAGCCTCCTGAGTAACTGGGATTGCAAGCACCTGCCACCACATCTGGCTAATTTTTGTATTTTTAGTAGAGACAGGGTTTCATCATGTTGGACAGGCTGATCTCAAACTCCTGACCTCAGATGACCCGCCCGCCTTCACCTCCCAAAGTGCTAGTATTACAGGCCACTGCACCAGGCCTGATTCCTCCTATATTTTATATGTTTTTTCTCTTGTGGCTCTTTCTCTTAGACCTACAAAGGCAATTAAGGCTCTCTCATTTGTTGAGAAACACACACACACACAAACACACACACTTCTCCTGACCATGAGTCTCTGTTAAGCCCTTGTCTTGTTTCGCTTCTTGTCTCAGTTAAGATTTTTTGGGGAAAAAAATGCATCACTTTCTCAATATCCTCACTTCCCTTTGACTTTTCAACCCAATATAATCTGCCCATTGTCCTACCATTATGAGCTCAGGAAATGCTGCCAAAAATCATACTCAAAAGTGCTAATAATGGTCAACGTATTTTGTTAATACACCTCATTTAAGAGACTTTTTCTGAGAGCCTTTACTTCCTTGACGTCTACCAGATGTTCTCTTTTTAAATTCTCTTTTATTTCTCAATTGCATTTGCAGGTCTCTTTTCCTCTGTCCTTTCTTGACCCAAATACAGAAGCTCCGAAAGGCTCTACCTTGTCAGTAGCTCTTTACTGTCAGTACAGTCTCCTTTGTGGTGTCATTCACTCTCTTGTGCTTAATTGTCCCTTGTGTCTTGCTGACTCTCAAGACAATATTTCTAATTCTAGTATCCCCCTTAAGCATCAAAGTATTCAACAGCCAACTGGCTGGATCCAGCTGAATGTTTCATAACTACTTCAAAACCAGCACATCTGTAACTGAACTCAGCCTCTTCCCACTGTCAGCCAGCCTGCTCCTCTCTTGCCTGCTGATCTGTCAGAGGCATCTCACCCACGAGCCATTCTTACCAGAAACCTGCCACATTCTGGACTTTTCATTCTGCTTTCCTGTTCCACATCAAATTAGCCACTGAGTTCCATTTTCTAAATGTTTCTGGACTCAAGACCCTGCTTTTATGCTGACAAACACAATCTTGATCCAGGCCCTTAAAAAGATTATTTTAATAATCTAGTGTTTTAGGTCTTTGCTCCATCATCTACAGAGTAGTAAAAATGGTATACTCAAAGGCAGATCTGACCACATCATTCCCTCACTGGACAAATTCCACCAGCTGACCATCACCTGTAGAATAAAGGCTGACTCTTCAGTATGCTAAGTAAGATCCTGCAGGACATGATGCTGCTTCCAGGCTTATCTCCCACCAACCCCGGCTTCTCAAGCTATGCCTTAGTAGCACTGATCCGTTGCTCTTCTCTGCAGACCCTGCTCCTCCCTGCATCCACACCCTTGTTCATGCTCTTCACACCACAAAGAATCCCCTCCCACTTTTTTTCATCTGGATGATGGCATCAGCTCCAGAAACTTCCCTGGATTCCCAAATCAAGCTAAGTTGAGCACGTTAGTACTCCTGCAGCACTATGTGCATTCTACAGACTATCACATGACAATCTATGCTGAAATTATCTGATCAAATATCTTTCTCCACTCCTAAAGACCAAAGTCCTCAAGAGGAGGATCTATTCTTATATATTTTCATATCATTAACACTAAATAAACACCTGGCCTTCATTTGCTAAAATGAACAAGGATTGGTAGAGTAGTTATCACATAGCAAGCAAAATACTGTGCAATTGGCATAATTTCAGCACTCAAGGGGTTCTCAGTCTCAAATAAGTATGTGAATACTATAACATAATATGTCTCTGATAAAGCTAAGCATAAGGTGTTCTGGGGGCACATAAAGGAGGTACCTGGCTGGGGAGGTAGGAGTAGCTCTGTGGGAAATGTCCAGGCAGCCTCCTTGGTGAAGATAACACCTGAAAAGTGCTATGAAAGATGAGCAGTTGGGGATCGCCAAGGATCAAACAATCTGTGCAAACACCCCGAGGTTCTGCAGGTGCTAGTAAATAGGAGACGGGAAAATATCTCAATATTGTGAAGTACAGGATATAAGTGAGTGGAAGTGAGATTACAGGGTAGAGAATAGGAAGGGACCACACATCTAGACTTTGTGTGTCTTTCATGTTAAGAAATGTGATTTGTCAATTTGAAGTCAGTGAGGAATTTTAAGCCAGACAGTGATATAATCAAAAACAGCTTTTTGTGATTTCTGTAACTACAGTGTAGAGAACTGACTGGATGGAGATGAGACTGTCAGACTGTCAACAGGAAGCCCTGGTAAGTGGGATAAGATGGGGGCCAGACTAAGGAAGAGAAGAGCAGAATGAGAGGGCCCTGGAGGCCACTTGAGAGCAGTGAGAGAGTGGATCTTTGCAGCAATAAACCATTCCACTGAACAATCTTAGTGGTCAACTCCATTCACCTCCAGGATGTACTTAGTGGCAAACTCTTTATAAAACAAGATAGATGTTTGTGAACATATAGGGAAAATGGCTTAATTTGTTCAGGCAGGAAATAAAATAAGTTTTCAATGAACTCCTGTTATAATTATCTGTAATTTGAGTATTTTTAATACAAGTAATGCAAGTAAATGTTCTGCCTTTTCCTAACCATCTTAAAACTGAACTGACATCTAAGACTTCAAGATTTACCAAATAGGCTGGGTGCAGTGGCTCACGCCTCTAATCCCAGCACTTTGGGAGGCCGAGGTGGGCGGATTGCCTGAGCTCAAGGAGTTTGAGACCACTCTGGGCAACATGGTGAAACCCTGTCTCTACTAAAATACAAAAGAAAAACCCCAACAATTAGCCAGGCATGGTGGTACTTGCCTGCAGTCCCAGCTACTTGGGAGGCTGAGGCATGAGAATCGCTTGATGGGGTGGTAGAGCTTGCAGTGAGCTGAAGCATGACTGCATTCCAGCTTGGGCTACAGAGTGAGACGCCATCTCAAAAAAAAAAAAGTTAACAAATAAACTTAGCCTATATTTATAGGCTTCCCAGCTAAAGTTGAATTTCAAGTAAACAGCAAAATATTAATCATACATAAATCCTCAAAAGTGGGATATGCTTATACTAAAAAATCATTCATTATTTATCTGAAATGTTCATTTAACTGAGTGTCTTTCTTTTATCCAGTAATTCTTCTGGCATCAAAATATTACCTGTAGATAATAGCGCCCTTCCACCGTGTGCAGTCCATCAAATGCCCCTAGGGCATACACTTCATCTGATCTCTTCTCAGACATCTTGTAGCTTAGATGACAGAAGAGATCTTTCTGACAAACTGTGTAATTTCCTGCGACTCCTGTGAGCTCCACGAAGGTGAATTCATCAAAAAAGGCAATGCCCTTAAATTCCTGGTTTCCTGTTGAGAGCGATTCTATACTGCTGGCATAAGATGTCCAATTCACCACAACAGAATGGGATGGGTGGGAATCCAGTTGCGAGAGGAGGAGTTTTCCCTGTTGTGTCTTCATATCATAATGAAATGCTCTTGGAGAATTGGGTGCATATATGCCACTTCCTGGAAGTAATAAGTTGAAAATATCATTTGAAATAAGAAAGTAAAAAGGGATTCATAATGGTTATTACTATTTTAAATTCATATTTACATTGTACTCCCTGTAAGTTATATGTTTTATTAATTTCAGTAAAACATGCTGATAAAGACAGAAAAATGAGAGGAAATCAATTAAAGTATGACACCAGCTCTCTCCTCCCACTGCCCAAGATGCCAAAAGAAAAGAAGGCCAAGGGGAAGAAGGTGCCTCCAGCCCCTGCTGTTATGAAGAAGCAGGAGACCAAGAAAGTGGTGAATTCCCTGTTTGAGAAAAGGTCTAAGAATTTTGTCCTTGGACAGGACATGCAGCCCCGAAGAGACCTCACCCGCTTTGTGAAATGGCCCCATTGTATCAGGTTGCAGCGGCAGAGAGCCATTCTCCATAAGCGACTGAAAGTGCCTCCTGCGATTAATCAGTTCATCCAGGACCTGGACTGCCAACAGCTACTTAGCTGCTTAAGCTGGCCCACAAGTACAGACCAGAGACGGAGCAAGAGAAGAAGCTGAGGCTGTTGACCTGAGCCGAGAAGAAAGCTGCTGGCAAAGGGGACGTCTCCACTAAGAGACCACCTGTCCTTCGAGCGGGAGTTAACACTGTCACCACCTTGGCGGAGAACAAGAAAGCTCAGCTGGTGGTGATTGCACACGACATGTATCTCATTCAGCTGGCTGTCTTCTTGTGTGCCTTGTGTCATACCTTATTGCATTATCAAGGGGAAGGCAAGGCTGGGATGTCTAGTCCACAGGGAGCCCTGCACCACTGTCGCCTTCACACAGGTTAAGTTGGTTAAGTTGGAAGACAAAGGCACTTTGGCTAAGCTGGTGGAAGCTATCAGAAACAATTACAATGACAGATACAATGAGATCTACCACCACTGGGGAGGCAATGTTCTGGGTCCCAAGTCTGTGGCTCGCATCGCCAAGCTCGAAAAGGCAGAGGCTAAAGAACTTGCCACTAAACTGGGTTAAATGTACACTGTTAAGTTATTTGTACATAAAAATAATTAAAATAATACAAATTTTCCTTCAAAGAATTTTTTAAATTAAAAAAATAAAATATGACACCAAGAAGGCAAGAAGAGACAGTTGTATGTAAGAAGTCACATATTTTGAAAAAAAAAAAAAATACATCAAGTTAAATAAAACCAAATAAACCTATAAAACAATTTAGACTGAGATTGATTCTATAGCATATTAGTACCTAGTTGTTCAAAAACTAAGAGTTGGAAAACATTGTATTAAGGAGTATGTATTAGCTAGAAAAACATGTTTTTTTCTTTTTTTTTCTGATTACATCAGCCTGTATATCTTTAAGATCACACATTACCTGTCATTTTCTTTGAGGGGTAATGTATGTTGGATGCAAGGAAATTGACCCTCATGCCCATAGCCCAAGCTGAGTGGAATTCAACAGCTGACAAGTGTGGCAGAACATTCATCCAAGCTGTTGGGAAGAGTATGGTGTCTACATGGAAATCTTTCACCAAGGTAACAGCAGGATCGTGGAAGAGTATATCAAAGCATGTGAAAATGCCAAAACTTCCAAAGGTAGTATTGAAAGTCACAACCTCAGGCTCCTTGGGTGCATCAAATTGCTCTTCACCCATGAAAAGGTTTTGCTGCAATAAACAGAAGATAAAGAGAAAAAGCGTCTTTTAGGAAGCCGATCTGAACATCACAGTGTCAAAAAAGGTGCAAGCTCACACCTTGGACAGTGCCAATGTCATCTATAACCACTGTTTTCACGGAAAATAGTTTGTGTTAGAGAATCAGAGGCCATTCCAGCTAAATCAAGCCTTTGGTTCAGTCTCCACGTTATGGATATATACATGGGTATCTCTAATTATAAAGACCTTCTTGAATCTTATAAGACATGAGAGTAAAATAGATCACTTCTATTTGTCAACTACACTTAACTGATTTCCTTGGCAAGGATCTTTGTTTGCTCCATTCTCCTCAAGACAGAGTCTATGTGATAAGAAGCTTTTCATTCTAGCCTTGACCCATTGCCAGGGTATGTCTTTAAAAGGACAAAGACCATCAGGAAGCAGAGGCGGGTGGATCACGAGGTCAAGAGATCAAGGCCATCCTGGTCAACATGGTGAAACCCCGTCTCTACTAAAAATACAAAAAATTAGCTGGGCACGGTGGTGCGTGCCTGTAATCCCAGCTACTCAGGAGGCTGAGGCAGGAGAATTGCCTGAACCCAGGAGGCAGAGGTTGTGGTGAGCCGAGATCGCGCCATTGCACTCCAGCCTGGGTAACAAGAGCGAAACTCCGTCTCAAAAATAAATAAATAGATAGATAGATAGATAAAAAAGGACAAAGTCCAATAAGCAACATTATCCAGCATAATGCAGGTAGCACTTTCTGACTCCCACGCACTCCTAAAAACACACTCTTGTGTTTATATTTACACATGAGCCTCTTTAAAGGAGCTTTCCACATTTTATCATTACTTTCTATGCTTTACCTCTACTCGATTTCTAAAGTATGCTTATCAGTATCAATACATACTTTTCTCCTTGCTCACTTTATTTCATTAGGCATTCACTAATCAGATTATTTGCAAGTTAATTTTACCTTATGGTAGCGTGCCACCAGTTTTCCCTGAGAATCAAATGCCACATCAGTGTTGTATTGGTAACGGCCATCATGGGGACACTGAGGGTCACTGGCATTGCATGGCTTCTTGTCCCCCATATTAGCCACGACATAGATAGAGTTGTCCTTGGCCAAGCAGCTGAGTCTTTCTTGCACTGGGGTGTGGCCAAATCTGGTATATGTTTATTGAAGGAAAAAAATCTTTGTAAATCAATCTTTACTTTTAACAAAATCTTGAATGATAGTTGCCTAAACCTATTATTTGATATATGTTAAAATAAATTCTAAATAACAATAATTAGAAAAGAAGGATTAAGACAAGAAAGGAGTTCAGAGAAAGCCCATGCTTGCGTAAAATTGGTTGTAGGAACGTACTCTAAGATAAGATTCCAGACCATGTATTTTTTCTTCAAACATTTATCATAATCTATAGTTATATTTTCACTTATGTGTTCATCTTACAGTGTCTGCAGCATCCTATGGATATCATGGGTCAATGACCTACATATCATGTTTACTAAACTTATATCTAACAGGAAAGAGGCATTAAAAATATTTAGGGTGGGCATGCTTGCTCATGCCTGTAATTCCAGCAATTCGGGAGTGCAAGGAGGAAGGATTCCTTGAGCTCAGGAGTTTGAGACCAGCCTGGGCAACAAAGCAAGACCCTGTCTCTACAAAAATGAAAAAAATAGCCAGGCATGGTGGTGTGTGCCTGTAGTCTCATATACTTGGGAGACCGAGGTGGGAAGATTGCTTGAATTTGGGAGTTTGAGGCTACAGTGAGTTCTACTGCATTTTAACCTGGGCAACAGAGCAAGACTCTATCTCAAAAAAAATTTTTTTTAATCAGTTAACAAAAACTCAGAGGCAGGGGGATCCTGAGAAGATAGCATAGTAGGGAGTTTTCTGCCACTTAGATAACAATTGCACTTATGGAATCTGTCTGATATTTCTATTTAGGAGCTCTAGTGCTTGCAAATTCCAGGGGAAGGCTTGGAAGATAACTCACAGTTAGTTTCAGTCCATTTTAGCTCTTAGCTCAATAGTGGTTACCAATTCCTCATCCCCTGTCCCCATAACAGGCTGTCATGTCTGTTCCTAAAGCAGCTTGCAGGCAGCTTATGGGAGCAGTAAGACCTTGTCTTTCAAATATGCAAGATTATTTTCTGATCACTAGTTGCTGCTTCTGATCATGGAGGTACAAACACAAAGGCAAGCAGCTATTGTCATGCACACACATACACACACACACACACACCATTTTTGCAAGCCAACTCTCTCGCTGAAGTGGCTTCCAAGAGATTTAAAGAGTCAGTGCCTTATTATTTTCTTCATTTTTTTCTTTTTCTCCTTTTGGGTAGTGAGACATTTAAGGAATAAGACATATAAAAGCAATCAAATATACAGGGAAATTTATAAAGTCACCATACATGACCAGGGAAAGGCACATGCTCATAAAAGTCCTAAGAAGACCTTAAATTTACATCTCAAGCTGATCCTCAACACAAACATCCTACAACAGCAACAACAAAACAATCATAGCAAACCCAAAGAATCTGATCACCAGAGTAACCACGTGATGATTCAAATGTCTAGTTATCAACCGAAAAAATCACAAATTATACAAAGAAACAGGAAAGTGTGACTCACTCAAAGGAAAGGAAAAATAAACTAATTAAAATCATCCCTGAAAAAGACCACATGACAGACCTACTAAACATAGACTTTAAAACAATGGTTTTTACAGATGCTTAAGAAAATAAAAAAGATGTGAAGAAAATCAGAAAACAAAACAAAGTAGAAATATCAATACAAAGATGGAAACCTAAAAAAAGTCTGGAGCTGAAAATTATAATAACTGAAATGAAAATTTTACAGAAGCATTCAAAGAAAAAAAGAGAAAAAGAGAGGAAAAAGAAAGAGAGAGATAAATAATAAATGGAGGGAGGGAGAAAGGAAGGAAGGGGAAGGAAGGAAGAAGGGAGGGAGGGAGAGAGGGAGAGGAGGAAGGAAGAAAAGAAGGGAAGGAGGGAGAGAAGGAAGGAAAGAAGGAAGGAAGGAAAGAGAAGAGGAAAGAAGAGGAAGGGTAAGGAAGGGAAGGAAGGGAGGAAGGGAGAGAGAGAGGGAGAGAGGAAGGGAGAGAGAGATGGAGGGAGGGAGGGAGGGCGGATATAGAGCTTTGCAAATTTAGTAACAAATAGGTACCATTAAAGCCATTGAAGACAGAAGCAACCCAGTCAAAATTTTCTTCATAAAGATAAATAGAACACTGAATATAGAATGTACTAGAACAATGAGAGACTCATTAGGAAGCTGTTGCCATAGTTCAAATAAGAGGTAAGGATATGCTAGGGTAGTACCAGCTAGTATGAAACTTTAGTAATCCTGGAGCATTTGTTAATTCCTGATTTCTTTATTCTTTTTCAAAATTACCAATAATTGTCCAAGTAAAGCAATTAAAATGCAATTTTGAAAATCATATTTAACACACTGGCATATTTATCCTCTATTGCACAACTCTGAAATGATAAATGGTTTACACCAGGTTATCGAAGAATAGCTAAGAAGGCTGTGATAACCTGTATGAATAAAAATTTGGTGCCATCAAATCTTGGCTATTGAATCTAGAAACAAATCTGTGTAATTAATATAAGGAAAATCATAGCAATCACTTATAAAACATACCCTTGAAAAGATCAGAAAAGGACATAATAACTCATATAGAAAATTATTATTTCAATGTGTTTATAAGAAAGAACAACCATTCAATAGTTTAACCCACCTTTGCTTCAATTAATATGTGAATGCATAGATATAAATTACAACACATTGAACCACTTGAAACACGTTAACCACCAGTCTTTGTGGATCACCTGAAGTGGTGGAATAGGTAGCTTGTTGTTTTGGTTTCCTGAAGCAGCTCTGATGACAAACATATTTTCCTACTGTCTCTATTTGTCTTCATGTATTCTAATATATCTCAATTCAAGCTACATTTCTCAGACTGTTTGCTATATACATAAAATGCTCCAAAATCAGACCATATGTCCTGATTTCAGATTTAAAAATTCAGTTTGCTTATGTGTGCCTGAAATCTGCCTGTTGCTTCATCCATGATATTTGCTGAGTCCTTAATGCATACAGAGTTTTGTTCTGGAAACAGAAGGACAAGGTGAAACAGAGTAATTGAAATTTTTTTTCCAAGGCTGCTTTCAAAGTGTTCAATCTCTAGGTATAACAAAAATCATCAATTATCGAGGAAGACATTTACTAACCTAAAATCAGCTCATGTTAAGTATTCAACAAATACTTGTTAGGTTTTGACACAACACAAATCACTATATTAGACATGTGGGCAACTGGGGAAAGTATATTCCAGGCAGAGCTGTCCAAGCACACAATGTGAGAGACACAGAAATTTCAGATGTGGTTGCTATGCTTATAAAGCACTAGACTTACTGGAGAAACAGTGTGTGTGCACAAAACTCTGAATTAATAGTATGAAATAATATGCAATCAAATATCAAAATGCCTTTTCAGCCCTTTGGCTCCAAGCTAACCCTGACAAGGGCAATATGATTTTGGTGGCTCTTCAAAGACCTCCGCCAGGAAGGCTCCCCCTCCCTGGGCCTCTCTCTTTCCCTTATTTCCTAGGCCTGTGAGATTGGATTTCATGGGGTGAGGTGAGGGCGGGCCCAAGAAGGGTGGTTCCCAATGAGCCCTAGTCACTATCAAGATGATAGAGGTACTGACAACTGACTCTCAGAAACTGCTACACCAGCTGAATGTCCTGTTGGCAAAGAAGTCTAGATGTCAGTTAAAGATCTGTGGCTTGAGACTAATTGAATTTGCACACAATAGACAATAGCCTCAGAATGACTGTAAGGCTACAGGCCTTTGAAGTACAAGATGTTAGTCTAAGTCAGTTCTTTGGCTTTGATAAAAAGACATTTTCTCTAACTGTGAATTTACTGGACAGATTTTTGTGTTAAATGAAGGTGCACCCCAAGCAGCTTGGACGTGTTGGACTGAGCTTATTCTATTTGGTTATAAAAATCCATAGGAGAGAAAAGGAATGTCCCATTGGCAACTGATGTGTTCCAAATAAGTGAATATAGGTTCATGGTTTCAGACTTAACGAGAATGGAAAAGATTGTATTGGAGAAGGTGTAATATAAAGTGAAAGCTACTACTGCCTTTCAATTTCTGCAACTCCACTATCCACTCATTCAAGAGAACTTGCTATTTGAAAGGAGAAATTACCTCAGTTTTGACTGGAAGCCCAATTTAAGGCATGTCAGATCAAATGCTCTAAACTTTAGAGTCTAAAGCAAAGCCTTCTGTGTTGATATTGTCCATAATAATCACATTGGAGATCCAAAAACAGAAGTGTATAGAGTTAATAAAATGAGGAGAATGTCTTCAGAAACATTCCAAGATAAATGGTAGAGATGGATACAAGCAAAGAGGTTGTATCCAAGTGTTTAACTGAATACTCATCAAACAAGTGCTCCAAATCAAATATTCGGAAGTAGAAATAGATTGCTTCTGGGCATACTGCATTGCACCTGAAGCACAGTTACCACAGAAAAATTCACTGTCCAACAATTCCTAAAATGGCTCCCTAATTGGTAAATTTGGTTCATTGTTATTCTACATAGAGAGAAAATTTTCCAATGCTATAATTTTCTTTTACAATTAAAATACTAATTATCTTCAAAATAAACAAAATGAAGTTGGAATTGCAAAGGGGAAATTACTTCACTGATCTAGTCAGTTACTATTTGAAGCCATTTACTGCATAACTACATAGAAACTATAACACCTCAACAGTAAGGAATTATCTAGCCCTTGATATGTAAATTAGACATTTCATCATCTTTTTAGCTTTGAAAACTGCATCCTTCTTAATAGCATGAATTTTATACGTAGCACTGAAATTGTGTTTTTATTGCACGTCTTGTTGTATATGGAACCACACTCAGGCTCATTTTAAGTTACACAAGCCTGAGTAAGACACCAGGGACAAAAAGTTTAAACCATATATGAACAAATTTGAAACTATTCATACGTTAGCAAAATCAATATGAATTTAGATATTGTACCTAAGGAAAAGTAAGATATGGGAGATGGTCTCCACTTTGAGCTTCTGAAAACTGTCAGGGTGTT